GACGAAGCTGGAGCAACGGCGCTGCAGGTAAGTGATCCCTGGCCTCCGCCCATCCTCTCTACCACTACCTTGCTATGGCGCCCAGCGCTGAAGACTACTAGCTAACGCTACTCTACTACCACGCAGCGCTCCCTCCAGAGTGCTGCTCCCGAATCCTGAAGACTACAACTGCCGAACTGCCTTTTCGTGAAGTGCCTGGGAAGTCCCTAAGTACTTCCTCGGCCTGCCTCCTGACTGCAGGAGGGCGAGCAGGCCGAGGAGGCAGCTCTTGCGAATGCCGAAGTCTGCCAGGGGCTAGCGTGCAGCAGCCTGCTTGAGGCAGGCGTGGGAACAGTCTAAATATAGGCTGTTCCCGAAACCCTGGTTCGGTGTCTGAGTTTCAGGGCTGGTCGTTCTGATGAATGACCGAAAATGGCCCTTGGGTTCAGGCTGAAAATGCTATTACCATTTTTAGTCTGAACCGTCGCAAGGGTTGTAGGCCCTGAAAGTCAGGCTTTCGGCCTGAACCGAAATGGGGCCTATAAGCCCTGAATTTCAGGCTTTCGGCTTGAAATCCAGGGTTTTGGCCTGAATCCAATCGGGCCTGCAAAATGGCCGTCGGGCCTGCACAATGGCCCGTGTGAGTGCACACGCTGCATGTAACACCCCCCCCTCCTTATGAAGTCAAGCCGAGGCGAGGGCGAAGCCGTCGGTCTGACGGTGGAACCTGGACGCGGGCGTGGCGTGGAGCCGAAGAATCTGGCTTGCCTTGCATCTTGCGTTCGTAGCGTGCGAGAACGTCTGGAGCTGTCGTTTGCAGTTCCGCATGGGTCAACCAACGATCAGCTCGATGAGTGCAGTAAGCAAAATGCACCAGATACTCAGTTGGCTTGTTGCCGTAGCGTCGCTGGGAGATGATGTCCCCGACCTCCTGAAAACCATCCATAGAAGGTGGATCCTGCGTACGTCTCCCGGGAAAATCATCATGTTCCGCAGACGTGTACAGAGTCAATTTGGAGCAATGAAAGACTGGGTAGAGAGGCAAGTGACTAGGCACCTGAATCGTGAAGGAAGGCCCCTCAGGTGCGTCCCCAGCGGGCTCAATGATCGGCCAGGGCCCCATCCATTTCGGAAGGAGCTTGCGAGAGATGTCCTTTTCAAGGCTGAATTCCGCTGCTGAAACCCAGACAAGGTCTCCGGCGTGGAATGGACAAGGAAGACGTTGGCGATTTGTCTGCTGGCTCATGCGTTGCTGTGTCTTAGCCATCTGGTCGCGTGCCTTGACAAGAAGCTCTTGCATCCGACGCAAGAAGAGAAGATGGTCGTCGCTCTCGGCCGTGCGTGAGTGATAGTGTCCAACGGTGATGTGACCTGCGAGCCGTGCTCGAACTCGAAGGGCGATATCCCAATAGCCGGGTGGATGGAAGAGTTGTAGGCCAACTCAACGTCTGGCAATCGCTCAACCCAGTCTTTCTGGTCGGGGCGGATGAGAGTGCGAAGGAGAACCTGTGCGGTCTGATGCGCCCTCTCCGTCTGGCCATCGGTCTGAGGGTGGCGAGCTGAACTGGGCTTGAGAGATGAGCCCCATYGCTTGATGAGCGCCAACCAAAAATYGGACATGAACCGAGTGTCGCGGTCGCAGACGATCTCCTTGGGGTAACCCTTGGTGCGAATCCAACCGGCGTACAAAACCTCGGCCAACTCCGGTGCCTTGGCATGATAGCGACAAGGCAAAAACATGGCGAACTTGGTGAGTCGGTCGACCACCGTGAGAATCCCATCCACTCCGGTCTTGTGCTTGGGGAACGGGCCGGTRATGTCCATGGCAATCGCTTCCCTTCGCCKCAACGGGACTGGCAATGGTCGTARCTCGCCGTACRGACGATGGTTGCGGGATTTGCAGCGTCGVCAAACCTCGCATGACTCGCAATAGCGCGTGACGTCGCCGAGAAGGCCGGGCCACCAAAATCGCTGGCGAAGTCGGCCAATCGTGCGATTGACTCCAAAATGTCCGGTAGCGGGAGCGTCGTGGAACTCGCCAAGAAGCCGTGTACGTAAGTGAAGATCACTCGGTACGCAAAGAAGGTCCTTCCCCCGCGTGTGGACAAGCAAGTACCCCTCTTGGATCCAGTAGTGAGAAGGAGCCGGATTAGGAGAGGAGCAATTCGCGTACTTGTTGCGGAACTCGGGGTCGGCTTGGTAGCCGCGGATGAAGTTGTTCCGCAGGTCATCGTCAATCTCGAAAGTCGAGTAGACCGCGGTACAATGATCCCGACGCCGTGAAAGAGCATCCGCAAAACGGTTAGACTTCCCAGGAATGTGATCGGGAAAGAAGTCAACTGGTCGATGAAAGCCATCCATCGAGCGATGGTGCTTTTGACGGTGTCCTGGGTCTTGTAGAAGACCAACGGATTGTTGTCTGTTACCCAGCGAAACTGGCTTCGACCAAGGAGGAAGTGTCGCCACCGCTTGAGCGCGTGGACGAAGGCGAGGAGCTCCTTCTTACGTGCATCATCAATGGAATGCACGAGGGGCACTTTCTTGCTGAAGTACTCGACCGGGTGCCAGTCCACACCATCATGTTGCTCGAGGACTGCACCAATACCATAGCCTGACGCATCCGTAGTGACACTCGTAGGCGCGAGCGGGTCATAGATTCGCAAGACCTCCGCAGACAACATCGCGGCTTTGAGAGCGAGGAATGATCCCCGCGCCTTCTCTCCAAAGTCAAACGGCCGATCCTCACACTGAAGCTTGTTCAAGTGGGCTGCGATCTTGGAGTAGCCTTTGATGAAGCGCTGATAGTAGCCGGTAAGACCAAGGAACAAGCGAACTTCCGTGACGTTCCGAGGCTCCGGCCACTCCTGGACGGCCTGAATCTTGTTCGATAGCGGATTGATGCCCTCCGGTGTGACAAAATGGCCCAAGTATTCCAGCTCCTGCCGGACAAACTCACACTTGTCGCGGTTGGCCTTGTACTTGGCACGGCGGAGCGTCTCCAACACTCGTCGAAGATGCCCCAGATGATCCTCCAATGACCGGCTGTAGACGAGAATATCGTCTAAGTAGACCAGCACGAACCGGTCCAACATCGCATGGAACTCATTGGTCATAGCCGCCTGAAAGGTCGTCGGGGCGTTGGTGAGGCCAAAAGGCATGACCACCCACTCAAAATGTCTGTACCGCGTCTTGAACGAGGTTTTGTAGCGATCGGTCGGCCGAATCGAGATATGATGATAACCTGATTTTAAATCCAACTTGGAGAAGTACTTGGCACCGCCCAGACTCTCAAGAAGATCGTCGATGCGAGGAAGAGGCCCCGCATTCTTGACAGTCTGCGCGTTGAACTTGTGGTAGTCGATGCACAATCTCAGGTCCTTGTTCTTCTTCCTGGCGAAGAGAACTGGTGCTCCATATGGGGAGCTACTCGGGCGGATCCAGCCCTTGGCCAACAAATCATCGAGYTGTGCGCGGAGTACCTCAAGCTCCTCCTCGCTCATCYGATAGATGCAACCTTTCGGCGGCACGRCACCGGCCTCAAGAATGATCTCATGAGAGATCGGCCGACCCGGCACCACACCGGTAGGTGACTCGAAGATGTCGGCGAACTCGTCCAGCAACCGYACCACACGGRGGTCCGAAGACAAGTCCGTGGGTGAAGAGTCGGCTACCGCGACGGTCCGTAGGAAACATAGGCCGATCTCCTCGGGCTGCTCGTAAGCACAAGTTGCCCGGAATGATTTGGCCGTCACCACTTGGCACCGGATCGAAGAGTGCGGTAGAGGAATAGTACACGCCACTTCCGCGCCGAAGGCGTCGCGAACGCTAAGAGTCCGCCGATGGAAGTTGACCGTGTGATCCGCACTTGCAAGCCAAGGCATTCCCAGAATGATGTCGAAGTCCGTGTCGAGAATATTGAATGTTACCGGTTTGCATGCATGAGGTGCAAAGTAGACCGGTACGGCCTCGATGTACTGGTCAAGAAGTTGCTGCGTCTTACCATCCACCAACTTGATCGCCATCGGGTTTGCCTTCCTCCGAACCTGAGCGCCAAGACCAGCCCTTTGCATAAAAGACTGGCTCATGAAGTTGCGAGTCGCGCCGCTATCCAACGAAGCGCTGCAGGACGCTTGCCCAACCTGGATGCGGACATACATGAGCGGTGCATTGTTGTTATCGTACCGCTGCGTGCGAAACTCGCGGGCCACCTTGGTAACATATGCCAAGATGTCCCCCACTGCGACTTCGTCATCTGTCGGCGAAGTTGGTGGTGCATAGAAGGAAAGGTAAGTGTGGAGATGAGCGCTAAGTGCTGCGCATTGCGGTCCTGGCAAACAGACTGTGGTCGGGAGAGGAAGCCATGCAAAGTCCTCAGACGTGAGCGGGTCCAATGCCTCTAYATTGAACTCGCGCGCCGGATCCCGTGAATCACCACTTGAAGACGAATTGCCGCTGTTGCCGGACGGAGAAGAAACCGCACACACTCCTTGTCCTTGAGCTTGAAAACCCAGCGTTGGAACGAGCCGGGCAGCATAGTCCTCGAAAGAAAGTAGAATCGGAGGACTGTCGACTTTCGCGTGCGCCTCAGAATGAAGGCTGGTCACTCGCGAAGAAACTAGTTCCGAAGGCGTCGAGAGTGTCGTCGCATCACTCTCGGCGGTGCTCAGTTTCCCTGTCGACCCTTGCCTTTCAATGGGCAAACCAGCGTCAGATGAAGATCGATGTTGCACCACAGGCAATAATGGAATCTCTCGCGCGCCTTGTAGGCGGACTCGGAGATGCCGTACGGGGTCCATGGGCCTGTCTGAGCTGCTGCACAGGGCCCGGGGCTAGAAACGGTGTGTGTCTTTGGCTTGCCGCGACCTCGGCCTCTGCCGGSGCGGCCACCTTCCCGGGCGGCTGCGAATCTGTCCCCTTCACTGGCAGACGCAGCCTCACTGGATTGGTCTAACGGCGTTGCCGCTGCGACCACAGCCACTCGTGGCCGATTCTGGTTCCCGCTCGGGCCTGACGCAGATGAACGGAGGTTCTTGGCCTCCTTGTTCGTGATAATGATCTGCACAGCCTTGTCGAATAACTCCGCCGTCGTCATCAAGGTGTCCTCGACATGCGTCAGGGCATTGCTCAATGCCGGACATGACCTTGAGATGAAGTAGTGGCGGATGGCTTTGAAGCCCATCTGGATGTCTGGGACGGACGTCAAGCGTTGGTACTCGACGATCCAGTCCGCGCTCGGCAGCGAGCCTTGCTAAAAAACCATCAGCTTGTCCATGGCCTTGATCTCTGGCGGCTCCACCTGGAACCGCTTGTGCCACGCCGCCTTCAGATCATCCCAACTGATCTTGGTGTGCAAGTCGGCTGCTACCACTCTGTACTTGGACAACAGGTTGTCCAACCAAGCCTGACACGCGCCCCCTGAGCGAGAGTACAAGTAAGCGTGGTGCTTGTTTTCCTTGATGTTGTGGAGCTGCAGCGTGAGCTCGAACTTGCGAAACCATGGAACTGGATCTGTCTTGATTGCATCGCAGAAGATCTCCTGCCCATCGAACTTAGGAGCTGACTCACGTGGCTCTGGACTCGAGGTGGTGGCGGTAGTGCAGATCCGCTGCTGCAACTGCACGCTGCTGCGTCGCGGTTTGCTGCGATTGCACGCCATCCTTGAGTGAACCGACGTCCATCTCCAAAGCATTGAGGCGGTCGGCGGTGGCGACCGGTCGCTGCTCCAGACGCTGAAGGCGGTCTTGGAGATCAGCTACCGAGTTGTCGAGGCCATGGATCTCCTCCTGCTGTGTAATGCAGGTGGCCAGGAGATCGGTGAGGTGCGAGAGGAGGAGCGCTATCTTGTTGGCGCTGTCCTCCAACTTGCCTTCCTCAGCCTCGGTTCGCCATGCTGCTGCCATATTGAGAATTGTCGGCTCTCCGGTGAAGATCTTCTCGCGACGTTGGTGTCTTTCTTCATCGGCAGCCCTTGCTGCTGCTTCGGCCTGCTGACACCGTTGCTCATCTGCCAGCAGTCGTGCCTGTTCGGCTTCCTCTGCCTTCCTCTTTGCAGCAGCTGCAGCGTCATCTGGTCGCTTCTTAGTTTCGGTGCACCAGGCTAACATGCGGGCCTGATAGGCCTCGTCTGTTTCCCCGGCCCTCTGGTCCATGACCGATGTCTGTGAACGCAGCAGCATAGACCAGACCGGCCTGCTAACGTGGTACTGCTGACGTGGTCTACTGACGTGGTCTGCTGACATGGCCTGCTGACGTGGCAGCTTACCAATGCCGTCTTACGGGGTACCCGGATACACACAGAGCAGATAAAGGCAGAGATGGCAACAACATAGGTGGGGAGGGGTGGGTGGGATAATCGCCCAGCTCACACTTAGATAAGGAGCCACTAATCAAAACAGAGAAGTTCGAAGGAGATCGGTGAGGTGCGAGAGGAGGAGCGCTATCTTGTTGGCGCTGTCCTCCAACTTGCCTTCCTCAGCCTCGGTTCGCCATGCTGCTGCCATATTGAGAATTGTCGGCTCTCCGGTGAAGATCTTCTCGCGACGTTGGTGTCTTTCTTCATCGGCAGCCCTTGCTGCTGCTTCGGCCTGCTGACACCGTTGCTCATCTGCCAGCAGTCGTGCCTGTTCGGCTTCCTCTGCCTTCCTCTTTGCAGCAGCTGCAGCGTCATCTGGTCGCTTCTTAGTTTCGGTGCACCAGGCTAACATGCGGGCCTGATAGGCCTCGTCTGTTTCCCCGGCCCTCTGGTCCATGACCGATGTCTGTGAACGCAGCAGCATAGACCAGACCGGCCTGCTAACGTGGTACTGCTGACGTGGTCTACTGACGTGGTCTGCTGACATGGCCTGCTGACGTGGCAGCTTACCAATGCCGTCTTACGGGGTACCCGGATACACACAGAGCAGATAAAGGCAGAGATGGCAACAACATAGGTGGGGAGGGGTGGGTGGGATAATCGCCCAGCTCACACTTAGATAAGGAGCCACTAATCAAAACAGAGAAGTTCGAACTTTGCAAAAAAAATTTGAGAAAAATAAAAATCCTGATTTTTGCAAGTTCGGTAGGTCTCCCAATCTCCCTTGAAGTACGAAATGATCTCTGAAAGTGAAAAAAAAATCTCGACTTTAGACTGCAACCGATTTATAGAACCAACTGACAGAATCCAAGAACTGCAAAAAAAGTCCGAACAGAAATGACAAATATTCGGATTTATTCCGATGGAATATTCGCAATAAAAACAATAATACGTGCAGGAGGTATTTCCCGTACCGTTTTCAGAAAAAACGAATTTCAGAAAAGAAAATATTCCGAAGTTCTGAGTAACGGGAAATGCAACAGAAAATTAAAACTTTCAAAAGAAATATATTCCGCATTTTTAACAACGAAATTTCGAATTTTCAGAAAGAAAAAACGAAAATAGGAATTTCAGATGTTGCGATATAGCGATTTTCCACAGCAAAATCGCGAAAAAATAAAATCCGAGAAAAGAAAAAAAATTCGATTTTTTGTAATAAGGTCAAGATCGTGATTTTGGGGTCTAACTAGTATGTCCTAATCAAACAGAAAGGACTAACTAGCTTTTTTATCCCCGCACACGTGTCAGATCAGATCGTCCTGATTCACGTGCAAAAGCTCCGATACCAACTGTTACGTGCACAGATATGCAATGTATGCAATAAACCGAGAATCTGCAATGTGATGAAAAGGACTGAATAGACAAAGCGGTTACGAGAATCTCGACCAGCAATGTACATTCGCATTCATGCATAAAGATGATGAAGAGCGCAGGGAAGACTTGGTACAAAGACTGACCTGACTAGGACTGACCTCATACACGTAGGTATCAAGTAGCGAAGCAGAGGGCTTGACTAGCCCAACCAATGTTTGAACTCAGACTAAACATGCAGTATATCCATCACCGAGTGTGAAGGAGCCTGGCGCTTATACACAGGAAGAGAGCACCAGGTCCAGACATACACAGACGAAGAGATAAGGATCAGACGAAAGGAGGGAAGAAGATGGGAATGTCGTTAACACCAAGTCTTGGTCACCAATCCCAAATAGTCCCTCGTTGCCATGTCTGAACCCCCAAAAGTCGAGTCAGGATCATATGTCACCGATCTCGATATGTCTTCTCTCGTAGTCTGCAACTGCAGGGAAGTCAGAAGTTGAGAGGGCAAGAAGAAGATGGTGGACCGAGAAGAGGAAGAAGAGAACTCTCTCTCTCTCACTGTTACGAACCAGGTACTAACCTGTGATGTTGGCGCTGTGCTGCAGGTACCTCGAAGACGAAGCTGGAGCAACGGCGCTGCAGGTAAGTGATCCCTGGCCTCCGCCCATCCTCTCCACCACTACCTAGCTATGGCGCCCAACGCTGAAGACTACTAGCTAACGCTACTCTACTACCACGCAGCGCTCCCTCCAGAGTGCTGTTCCCGAATCCTGAAGACTACAACTGCCGAACTGCCTTTTCGTGAAGTGCCTGGGAAGTCCCTAAGTACTTCCTCGGCCTGCCTCCTGACTGCAGGAGGGCGAGMAGGCCGAGGAGGCAGCTCTTGCCAATGCCGAAGTGTGCCAGGGGCTGGCGTGCAGCAGCCTGCTTGAGGCAGGCGTGGGAACAGTCTAAATATAGGCTGTTCCCGAAACTCTGGTTCGGTGCCTGAGTTTCAGGGCCGGTCGTTCTGATGAATGACCGAAAATGGCCCTTGGGTTCAGGCTAAAAATGCTATTACCATTTTCAGTCTGAACCGTCGCAAGGGTTGTAGGCCCTGAAAGTCAGGCTTTCGGCCTGAACCGAAATGGGGCCTATAAGCCTTGAATTTCAGGCTTTATGCCTGAAATCCAGGGTTTTGGCCTGAATCCAATCGGGCCTGCAAAATGGCCGTCGGGCCTGCACAATGGCCCGTGTGAGTGCACACCCTGCATGTAACACCTATGAGCGTCAGCAGTCTCTGCTCAATGCCAATCGGGGGGGACCAACGGCATATCTCTAGGTGGCGGGCGCCATGCTTGCCCAGGAAGGTACATGAGGCCAATGGGGATTGAGCCCAAGAGACCGCCTGAATGCCAATTGCGTGCCTGACCAACTGAGCTAGGCCGCTGGATGCATCCACACCTTTCGTACTTTTCCCGTCTTTTTTCCATGTTGCGGATTTTGTTTTGCGGCAACGCCCACTGGGTTGACTATGGGACTGCGTTACTTGCTCCGCACATTTTCCGCGTCTCAGAATCGGTGCTCTCCTCCGCGTAGAACTCGCTCAATTTCAGTCTCGGAACAAGCAGGTTTCTACCCAGAGGGCACGCAACTTCACCTTGTAGGATCCTGTCTCCCTCCTCTCTTACCCGCTGAGGACTCGCTTCTCCAAACGATTACAGTAACTGGGCATGACTGTGCTACTCAGCTCTGTGTAGGGTTATCATTGTTGCGCGCGTAGAAGGGGAGAGAGAGAGAGAGAGAGAGAGAGAGAGAGAGAGAGAGAGAGAGAGAGAGAGAGAGAGAGAGAGAGAGAGAGAGAGAGAGAGAGAG